ACCTGGTCTTCTGTAAGAACAGCCAGTGTTCTTAACCGCTGAGCCATCTCTCCAACCCATGTGGTGTTTTATTTGAAACGGGATCTTGCATTACAACCCAGGCTAGGGCCAGCCCAGGTTAGCCTCAGACTTGTGATATGCCTGCCTTAACCTCCCCAATGCTAGGATTTTATTTTATTTCTGGTCTTTTTGAGACAGGGTCTCCTTGTAGCCCACCTGGCCTGGATTCACTATGGAGACCAGGCTGGCCTTGAACTCACAGAGATCCATCTGCCTCTGCCTCCCAAGTGCTGGGATCAAAGGCGGGCGCCACCACACCCGGCAATATTTTTATTCTATGTGTGTGAGTGTTTTCTCTGCATATATATAAAAGAACCCATGTGTGTAATGCTTGCAGAGGCCAAAAGAGGGTGTTGGATCCCCTGAAACTGGAGTTATAGACTGTTATCCTTAACATGGGTGCTGGGAACTGAACCTGGGTGCTCTGCAAGAGCAGCCAGTGCTTTTAACCACTGAGCCAGCACTCCTACCTTGGAGTTTATCTGCTAACCCTAGCAGATCTATGCCTGGTGTGATGAGTGTGGCCTATCAGGTAGTCCACTGGGCTGGGGTATGAGAACACAGAAATGGAGGTGGCTGAGTGGGTGTGATTGCGGTGGGCATGACCAATAGAGGTGTGACAGGCATCCATGGGTGTGGCTACTGGGGGCGTGGCAGGCTAGTGGTGGGTGGGATTCAGGGCGTGGCAGGGCAAGGTGGGTGCTGCTGAGCAGAGGGGTTTGTCAGTGATGAGATGTGGCTGGAATGCTGTGGGGGCTGGGACAGAGGTGTGGCCTGTGTGGGGGCTTGGCCTGGGAGAGGGCTCCAGAGGCTGACCTTCCTCTTCTTGGGGTTCCCCAAGGCAGGTGCTGCGTGACCACAACTGCCTACAGACACTGCTACAACACCTCACCTCGCACAGCCTGACCATAGTGAGCAATGCGTGTGGAACACTCTGGAACCTGTCTGCCCGCAGCCCCCGGGATCAGGAACTGCTCTGGGACCTAGGGGCAGTGGGCATGCTTCGAAACCTTGTTCACTCCAAACACAAGATGATCGCCATGGGTAGCGCTGCCGCCCTGCGCAACCTGCTGGCCCACCGGCCTGCCAAGTACCAGGTGACAGCCACTGCCATCTCCCCGGGCACCTGTGTGCCCAGCCTGTATGTGCGTAAGCAGAAGGCTCTGGAGGCCGAACTGGACACCCGGCATCTGGCACAGACGCTGGGTCACCTGGAGAAACAGGGTCTGGCTGAGGCTGACAGTGCTTCAAAGAAACCTTTACCACCCCTTCGCCACCTGGATGGGCTGGCAAGGGACTATGCCTCTGATTCCGGCTGCTTTGATGACGATGATGCGCCATCCCTGGCAGCGGCTGCCACTACTGCAGAGCCTGCCAGCCCAGCGATGCTGTCCATGTTCCTCAGTGGCCCATTCCTCCAGGGCCAGGCGCTGGCCCGTACTACTGCTGCCCACCAGGGTGGCTCAGAGGCTGAGAAAGAGGCTGGTGGGGACACAGCTGTGGCCATCAAGGCAAAGGCCAAACTGGCGCTGGCCGTGGCACGGATTGACCGGCTGGTTGAGGACATTTCTGCCCTCCACACCTCATCTGATGACAGTTTTAGTCTCAGCTCAGGGGACCCCGGGCAGGAGGCACCAAGGGAGGGCCAGGCCCAGTCTTGTTCTCCATGCCGGGGACACGAGGGTGGCCGTCATGAGGTAGGTGGCCGGGCCCATCCTCTGCTGCGGCTCAAGGCTGCCCACACCAGCCTCTCCAATGACAGTCTCAACAGCAGCAGTACAAGTGATGGTTACTGTCCCCGGGAGCACATGCAGCCCTGCCCGCTGGCTGCTCTGGCTGAGCATCGTGAGGATCTTTTGAATGGGCAGAAGCGTCCCAGTCGGCTGGACCTGGACCTGCCCAGAGGCCGGGCTGAGCTGCCCTCCCAGGACACAGTGGTGTCTGATGCCCGTGTGCGAACCATCAAACTGTCTCCCACCTATCAGCATGTTCCACTGTTTGATGGGGCCACTGCAGCGGGTGTCCGACCCCTCGCTGGACCTGGGGCCTCCCCGGGGGCTTGGAAGCAGGCGTGGATGCCTGGGAACAGCCCGAGCAAGGTCCCCGAGAAGCTGGTGGGCTCCCCGCTGCCTGTGGCCAGCAGGGTACTGCAGAAGCTAGTGGCAGAGGATGGGCCCATGTCTCTTTCTCGATGTAGCTCTCTGTCTTCATTGTCTTCCACTGGCCATGCTGGCCCCAGTGAGACAGGAAATTTGGATGACAGTGATTCATCTCTAGAGGGGTTAGAGGAGGCTGGCCCTGGGAAGTCTGAGCTGGATGGAGCATGGCAGGCCTCGAGGTCCACTTCTCTGCCCGTGACCATCCCAGCCCCACACCAGGGCCACAGTCGGGGTCTGGGGATGGAGGATGCTACCTCCAGCTCATCAGAGAACTGCGTGCAGGAGACACCCTTGGTCCTCAGCCGCTGTAGCTCCGTGAGTTCTCTGGGCAGCTTTGAGAGCCAGTCCATTGCGAGCTCCATCCCTAGTGATCCATGCAGCGGGCTGGGCAGTGGTACTGTGAGTCCCAGTGAACTGCCAGATAGTCCTGGGCAGACGATGCCACCCAGCCGCAGCAAGACACCACCGGCACCACCGGGTCAGCCTGAGACCAGCCAGTTCAGCCTACAGTGGGAGAGCTATGTGAAGCGCTTTTTAGACATTGCGGACTGTCGGGAGCGATGCCAGCCACCCTCGGAGTTGGATGCAGGTAGTGTGCGCTTCACTGTGGAGAAGCCTGATGAAAACTTCTCCTGTGCCTCCAGCCTCAGCGCACTGGCCCTGCATGAACTTTATGTACAACAGGACGTGGAGCTGCGACTGAGGCCACCGGCCTGCCCAGAGCGTGCTGGGGGCAGTGGGGGACACCGTCGGAGGGATGAGGCTGCTGGCCGCCTTGAGGGTCCAACGTCCAGTAACTCTCGAGCTCGTGTGGCTGCTGACAAGGAGCTGGAGTTGCTGCGTGAGTGTCTAGGGGCTGCTGTGCCTGCCCGGCTCCATAAGGTGACCTCTGCATTGATGCCCGGCCGCCGGGCACTGCCTGTCCCTGTGTACATGTTAGTGCCTGCCCCGGCCCGGGATGATGACTCAGGTACTGACTCAGCAGAGGGCACCCCGGTTAACTTTTCCAGTGCTGCCTCACTCAGTGATGAGACACTTCAGGGACACTCCAGGGACCAGCCCTGTGGACCTGTGGACAGACAGAAACCCATAGGCCAAGCAGCACCTGCCAGGAGGAGTGCTGGTCACCGGCCCAAGGCAGTGGGCACTGGTAAGAACACAGAACAGGCCCGAGGAGCCAGCAGGACCCGGGCAAGATTGGAGCTGCCCCTGAGCCGGCCTTTGAGTGCACGATCCAACAGAGATGGCTCCAGCCAGGTTCGGACCCATGGGGATGGGGCTCTGCAGTCCCTCTGCCTCACTACCCCCACAGAGGAGGCTGTATACTGTTTTTATGGCTCTGACGAGGAGCCACCGGCCACAGCACCGCCACCAAGGCGGGCATCTGCCATTCCACGGGCTCTAAAGCAGGAGAAGTCCACGAAACTAGCTCCTCCACCCATGAGGGCCCAGCCCAGAATGATTGTGGACGAGACCCCACCATGCTACTCCCTGACATCTTCGGCCAGTTCCCTCAGCGAGCCTGAGGTCCCTGAGAGGCCAGCCAGCCATCTGCAAGGCCAGGAGCTGGTGGCCACCAAGGACCCAGGCCTGGGTGGTAGACAGGATAGCTTTCCCAGCCCACGGGCTGAGGAGGAACTACTGCAAAAGTGTATCAGCTCAGCCCTTCCAAGGCACCGGCCACAGGTACAGGGTTCACGGCGTCGCAAGCCACGAGCTGCCCGACAGAATGAGGTACCCCGGAAATGCTGCGAGGAGGTGCCTGGCTCCGATCCAGCCTCTGATTTAGACAGTGTGGAGTGGAAGGCCATCCAAGAGGGCGCAAACTCCATAGTCACTTGGCTGCATCAGGCAGCAGCCAGGGCCAGCCTGGAGGCCTCATCAGAGACTGACTCTGTACTGTCTTTGGCATCCGGTCTGTCCCCAGGCTCCTCTTTACAGCCTTCCAAAGACAGGAAGGGGCAGCAACCTGGGGCTGGGACCGAAGCTGTGAGTGTCTGCCATCCAGAGAAACAGGATACTTCCTCCACCAAGGTCAGTGGGAACCCCTGCTCTCCTGGAGGCTCTGAGAAGCCAAGAGGTGTTCATCAGAAGACTGTGACAGGGGAGCCAGCTGTGCTCCGGGGACGGACAGTAATTTATATGCCCAGTCCAGTCTCCCGGTCTCAGCCTAAAGGGGTCCCCGGGCCCTGTACCAAACCTAGAAAGATGGGGTCAGCTGGTACCACTCAGCCTGAAACTGCCACCAAGTCCCCCAGTCCTGGGCAGCTGCGTTCACGGAGCCTCCACCGGCCTGGCAAAATCTCTGAACTGGCAGCTATGAACCATCCACCAAGGAGTGCCACGCCGCCAGCTCGCCTCACCAAGACCCCATCCTCCAGTTCCTCCCAGACCTCCTCTGCCTCTCAGCCCCTGCCTAGGCGGTCCCCTCTGGCTACTCTCCCCTCAGGATCCCTGCTGGGTCCTGGAGAGTCCCCAGTGCCCAAGTCACCAGCCCGGGCCCTTCTAGCTAAGCAACACAAGACTCAGAAGTCACCAGTGCGAATTCCATTCATGCAAAAGCCAGCCAGGCGAGGGCCACCACCGCTGGCCAAGCCGGCCCCAGAGCCAGGACCCAGAGGCCGAGCAGGGGCTGAAGGGGTTCCCGGGGTGCGTGGTGGCCGCCTGGGCCTGGTGCGCATGACCTCAGCCCGTTCCAGTGGCAGTGAGTCCTGCACCCGCTCAGGTTTCCGAAGACAGCTGACCTTCATCAAAGAGTCCCCAGGTCTCCTGCATCGCCGCAGATCAGAATTGTCATCCACAGGTTCCACAGTGTCCACAGCCTCCATGGCCCAGGTCTCCTCACCCTGCCATGGCCAGCCCACACTACCTGCAGTTTTCCTCTGCTCCTCTCGCTGTGACGAGCTGCGGGTGTCCCCACGGCAGTCCCCAGGGCCACAGCAGTCTCCGAAGTCTAGGCCAGGTCCTACCCCACGTGCTCCCAGGCGCACCAGCTCGGAGAGTCCCTCACGGCTGCCAGTTCGTACCACCCCCCTGCAGCCCGAGAAAGTCAAGCGGTATGCGTCCCTGCCACACATCAGTGTGGCCCGCAGGCAAGATAGCACAGTCCCTGTGCCTGCTGCCCGCACCAATGCCACCCGCCGGGGCAGTGACAGCGAGGCCAGGCCACTGCCCAGGGTAGCTGCGCCGGGCACTACCTGGCGGCGGATCCGAGATGAAGATGTACCCTACATTCTACGTAGCACACTGCCCGCCACCGCCCTGCCACTCCGGGGTCCATCACCTGAGGACAGCCCCTCAGGGACCCAGCAGCGCAAGACCAGTGATGCTGTGGTTCAAACGGAAGAGGTGGTCACCCCTAAGACCAATTCTAGCACGTCACCCAGCCTGGAGAGCAGGGATCCCCCAAAGGCCCCAGCCACCGGCCCTGTTGCACCCCTGGGCAGTGATGTGGATGGGCCAGTCCTTGCCAAGCTCCCTTGCTCAGTACCCTTCACTCATGAAGGCCTGAGTGTCACTGTAGGGGGCTTCCCCATCAGCAGGCATGGCTCCCCAAGCCGGGCTGCACGCGTATCCCCCTTCAACTATGTGCCCAGTCCCATGGCTGTGGCCAGTAACTCCTCAGTGGAGAAAGCCCCCATGTCCACTCCAGTCAGCCTCCTGGAATAGCAGATCTAGACATGTATGCTGGAACATTCTCCTGGCCATGTGGCCCAGTGCAGCTGCCCTGTGGGCCTGCTCTCTAGATGCTCTGAGTAGGTGAAGTCCTCGGAGCCCCTTTTAAGCATGCCTATCTGCCCCTTCCACCCCTGGGGCTTCATCCAGGGGAAGTGACCACAGACAGGGGCCATTGAGCACACATGGTGGGGGGAGTGTCATCCTTCCAGATCTGGTCAGGAGGGACGTGTTCTGAGGGACACTAGCTATGGGCCTCCCACGCAGGATCTGCCCCTGCTACACCCAGTAGGATGGTGGGGGACAGGTACAGAGAGCACAGGAAGGCTAAGCCTGGCAGCTGTGTCTGCCACAGCCCTCAGCTCTCTAATTAGGGCTCTGGTAATTGGTTAATGAGAACTTCGCTGGGTGTGTTTGTGTTCCCAGGCAGCTGGGGAGAGTGGGTTGAAGGGTGGAGCCAAGCTGGCAGACAGACAGACTTGCCTACCCAGCATGTGTGGAGTGTGTGTGTGAAGGCTGCTAACGGCAAAATGGTCCAATGCAGATGCCTGGGGCCCGCTGAATTCATGTCCCTCCCAAGGGGGAAGTGGGACAGGACCCAGACGGGGGGCACACAGGGCCCTGAGCTGTTCATCGGTGTCTTGCCTGTTTACAAAGCAGGAAGCTTGAGGATCCGGGCCAGCCACAGCTTGGTCAAAACAGCAACTTGGAGGACAAGGTTGAGTGGCCTGAGGCTGCCTGTGGACTCAACATGTTAAGTTGTGAGCAGAGGATGAAGTAGGAATTATACAGGGAACACTGAGGAGTTTCAGGAGATCTGGGTATTGGGTCTGTGTATGTATCCCACGGACCTTTGTGAGAGGAACCTGGGGTGCAGTTAAGGCCTCATCTCAGTATGCAGTGTCCTCTCAAGAGTTGATAACCTCTTTCTGACAGGATCCTAGGGGCAGGCAGCTCTTTGCAAGGGGACCTACAGCTTACGGCCAACTGCGAGAGCTGCTCCCAGAGGACCAACTGGGACCCCATCTGGGATGAGGGAAGTGGTTTTGAGTCACATGGGAGGCTTCTTTAGGAAACAGGACAGCGTGTCCCTCTGTCCATACTTCATCCTCCATATGGCTGGCCCCCATCCTGTTGTCCCTCCTGGGTGAGGCAGACCCCATAGTGCTAAGCAATTTAACCCTTCATCTCCCAGAGCTCTCACCACCCAGCATTCTGTCGCTAACTCGCTGGGCAGAGCCACGCTGGGGACTCAATGCAAGTCCAGGACACTGCCTGCCGTTCTGCACCGCTTGGGGGATTCCAAAGACACACTGGCCTGCAGATGACTAGCAGCAAGGGAACAAGGAGAGAGACCTTCCCAGGACACTGCAGGCTAGACCTGGAACCCCTGAATGCCTGGTCACACCCACCACAGGCAGCCATACAACAGGATGACCCAGTGGAGGGGACATGGCAGTAGACAGAGCCCCAGCTTGGCCAGATGTCCAACCAGCTGGAGCTGTGAACTGCAGCTTGCAAAGACTGACCCTGTGTACTTACACTGTGAGACTCCCCCCCCTTGGCGGTGCATGTGGCACCGCTCTGTGCCTCAGTTTCCCCATGTGGGCCATGGAGAGGGCTCCAAAGCTAGCTCTGGGTGAGTGGATGGGAGGTCTTGGGTGTTGCTTACAGAGAGGCCAGGGCCACTGAGCCCACCTCCTGTCCTGCACCCCCTTAGGAATTCTCTATCCCCCACAAGGGTCACAAGCCACAAAGCATCACCTGGACCAAAGCACACAGATGGGAAGTGGAGCTCCAGCCTGCTCTACAGTGTCTTTAGAGAAAGAACAAGAGGGGTCTGGGGTAGGCTGGCTCTCAGCACCCTGAGCTGTGGTCCACTGGAGACTCACTACTGGGTGCTTTAACAGGGTGACATGCCCACCTTTTACCTCTTGTCTGTCTTGCTGACCAGAGGCCAAGGCCACCCCCCTGGCTTGCACCTGGTCTGTCTGGCACTGCCCTATCTCCTGTACATACACACCTGGAACCCCATGTAAACAAGTGTGGTGGGAGCACGCTGAGCCCAGCTTTCTGGCTCATGTTCACACCTTTAATAAAGCAAACCTTGCATTGCTCTGGGTCACCCTCCCATCAACATGGGTGACAGATGGGGAGGATTTCTACTGTGGCCATGGCCCAACCCCACATGCAGACCCACAAGCTTCTTACTTCATGGATACCTTGGGCTAGGTCCAGGCTGGCAAGTTGGACATGAGTCCACTGGGGCTCAGTCATGTAATCACTTGCTCCTGAACACTAGTCTTCAGCCACTGGCTACAAATGGGTGGAAGTGGGGAGACCAGCAGACACTAGGGCCACTGTGGCCACAGGTAAAGGCCACATCTGGCAGGGGTTCAGCTTCCCCGCCTAAGATCCAGTGTCCAGCTTAGGGGAGATCTTAGCTCAAAGTCCAGGCACCCCAGAGTAGTTGGTCCACACTGAGGTGAGGATCTCAGGATTCTCAAAGGAGCGATGTAGCCTGCATGCAGCCATCTGCCAAGATGGTATTACACTGAGAGCATCAGGGTAGCTGTGTGTCTGCCACCCCAGGCTTTTGGCCCCCACTTCTTCCATACCTCCCAGACTTCTCAAGCGAAAACCACATTTCCAATTCCTCCAGCCATGGGGAGACAAGACACTGAATGCACTGGTGGCCAGTCCTGCTGGGCAGTGAGACAGCAACCCCGGGTGGCAGCGAGTGGGACCAGGGCACAGTGGTGAATGGGTTGAAGCAAGCAGGTTGGCCCTGAACCCCAACTTGCAGCTGAGTCCCAGGTGAACCCCAAACCCAGAGCTTCCCATAAACCCATCAAAGTAGGTGCTAAGGGCCTGAATGAACAAGAGTCAACCATTTACCAAGTAGTATCTCAAATGAGAGGCCACTGTGGGTGGAAGAGGGGATGTCAGCCCAGTTGGGCATCCAGGACCCTGGGGAGGACTTGGACGAACAGACAGATGGAAAGACTATATCTGGTGCAACTGCAGCCCTAGGAGGTGGCTGAGGTCCCCAGCAGCACCACCTGGCCCATGTCCTGCTCCAGCCTGCAGCCAGCTTCATGGAGATCTTCGAACTTCTGCTTCAACTCGTCTCCAACCTGCCGCAGCCTCTCATTGGTGGCCACATACGCGCGGCTCTGTTGGTAGAGCTGTTCCTGCTGGGCTTCGGGGTCCTCAGCCTTCAGGGAGGGATCTGGAGGTTCTGGGGAAAAAACACAGTGTCACCACCCTCAGGCCAGTGAGCCCCACAATGCAGATGCCCAGGTACAGAAAACATCCTTTCTGGTCAGGCAAGCAGTGGTGCACGCCTGTCATCCCAGCAGTGGGGAGGTAGAGGCAAGAAAATCAAGAATTCAGGATCAGCTACATAGTGAATTTGAGGCTAACCTGGGGTATGTGAGACCCCATCTAGGCCCTAGAAAACACAAGGCAGGGGCTAGAGAGACAGCTCAGTGGTTAAGAGCACTGGCTGCTCTCGCAGAGGACCTGGGTTCAGTTCCCAGCACCCACATGGTGGGTAACAAACATCTGTAACTCCAGTTCCAGGGGATTTGACGCCCTCTTCTGGCTTCCACAGGCATTACATGTACAGGTATGCTTACATGGATGGCGGCAAAACCCTAACATAAATAATTGTTTTTTCAGACAGGGTCTCTGGGTAGCCCCAGCTGGCCTAGAACTCACTACGTAGACCAGGCTGACCTCAATCTCACAGAGGCCTCCTAAATGCTGGGATTAAAGATGTGCCTGATCACACTTTTTTTTTTTTTTTTAATCTTAAAAAGACAAAGCCAGAGTTGCAGAAAAAACCCAGGTCCGGGGATTAGAGCCAGTCAAGTCACCCTCCACTCACCAAGTGACCTCACTGGCCCACCCAAAAATATAGGGTAAGACTTGCAGAAAACGTACCCCTGCCCTGTGCCTCAGTTCCCTCAGATTCCCAAGTACGCACACCTGGGCCTAAACTATTCTGTTTTTGTGGGTGATTTTGGCTTTTCTGTTATTTTGTTTGAGACATGGCCTCACTGAGCAGCCCAGACTGGCCTGGACCTCACAGCAATCCTCCTGCCTTGCCTCCTGCACCCCTGCTTGGCAATCGATAAGGCGAGGGTGGGCCCCACTTTGCACACGACTGCTTGACTGAGGCCAGTTCACGTCCCCAGGTTCCGGTCTGCAGTCTGGGTGTCCCCCCTACTTGGAGGGACCCCACTCCCCTCCTACCTTCTGGGACCAGGGCAGTAAAGACGGGGTCCTGGGCTGGCGCCCCCCGCACATCCTCCAGGATCTGCTCCACCGTGGGGGGCGCGGGCCGCGTGGGCAGCACCACGCGCTTCTTGGCCTTGGAGCCCATGATGCAGGCGGAGCAGCGAAGCACGTAAACTCCTAGGCCGCCGGAACCCGGCGCCTGCGCCCTGCCCCGCCACGCTCCTCGCCTCTCTTCCTCCTTCCGCCCAGGGTCTCAGCTTCCGGCTCGACCTCCGGCCTCAGTTTTCCCATGGAGCATCTCTGCACCTAGCGTCACGCACAGCTTCCACTTCCGTTTCCTGTCTGAGTGCAACTTGGTTTCAGATGCCTCCCGCACACTTCCGGCTCCCTCCCCACCCTTCCCAGTGAGGTCCCGCCTCCTTTTAAAGCGACCTCTCACTTGCTGATGCCGAGATTCCATCTAATAGAATCAGAGCTCTGCCCAGGGTGGAGGGAGCACTCAGCGGTTAAGAGGGCTTGCAGCTCTGGATGACAACCTGGGTTCGGTCCCCAGCACCCACATCACGGCTGCCAACCATCCATGATTCCAGTTCCAGGGGATCCGACGCCCTCTACTGGCCTCCGCAGGGGTGCACGACAGGGGTGCACTTACATACATACAGGCAAGACACTCATACACAGAAAATAAAAATACATAAACTTAGGGCTGGAGAGATGGCTCAGCAGTTAAGAGCACTGACTGCTCTTGCAGAGGACCTGGATTGGATTCCCAGCACCCACATGCAGCTACCAACCGTTCTTAACTCCAGTTCCAGGGGAATCCGAAGCCCTCTTCTGACCTCCACAGCATTGCACAACACGGGTGCACTCACATACATGCAGACAATACACTCATACACATAAAATAAAAATAATAAATAAAATATTTTTAAAAATGGGTGGACAAGAGTTTGAGACCCCCTGGCTCGGTAGCAAATGGGAACAGACTCACTGATCACTGCCATGCACACAGGGGGTGCTTAATAAATGTTGGTGCTCCACCTATCCATGGGGGTCCTATGTGCCAGAGCTTTGCTTCCCCTTCATGGCTGCATGGTATTTCAGCATGTGGATGGACAGTGGGACTCACGTTGGCCATGATCTCCTCCCTGCTGCCCTCCCATGCTTGGGGGGTATCCTCGGACCTGGGGCAGAGTCTCCCTTAGATTGGCTTGTTTGGGGGACACTGGCCCCCATACCTCAAAGGAGGCCACAGACTTGCATCCTCTATTCAACCTTTATTTAACAACTATGAGGTCAGATCTGGAGCCCATGGACAGATTCTGGGGTGGCGAAGGAGGGAGAGGTGGTTGGTGGCTATGGTCTGGCCTCTGCTCACCCCACCCATAGCCCTGATCCTGAACGTGTAAGATGTCTTTTCCACTTGGAGGCCACACTGTGGGGTGTTATACAGCTTATGCTGTGCCCACAGCTGGAGGTGGCCCATCAAGGACTCCTGGGGCAGACCTCAGAAGCGGTGTACCCAGGGAGACAGTGCCCCCCACCTCTGTCCTCTGAGTCCTGTGTCTCTGGGTCCCCAGCTTTCCCGGTGGTGTGCATACAGGGTCCCCAGCTTTCCCGGTGGTGTGCATACATGGTATCAGTAAAGTGTCCAGCCTAGGGTGGGCCTCCCTCAGACATGAGGCTGAGGAGTGGGTTCCCCAAGGCCCTGTCCAGTGAGGGGCCAGCACCACAGCCCCTGACACTGGTAACTGGGGGTGGCAGGCCAAGGGAGAACCCCAGAGCTCGCCCAGCCTGGTGGACAGGAACAGGCAGTGTAGCCGCTGGTCAATCTGCCCTAGCAGGTATAACAGGATGACAGCTGACCCATCCAGTGGTCACTGCCTGGTGTGTGTGGCTGTTGAGTGTTGGCCAGCTGGAGAGGACACAGAGCCATGCCACGATGGAGGACTGACCATCACCTTCACTTTCTGTACGGGGACAGGCGGGACACAGGACATGAGGCTGCAGCAGACCAGTGCAGGTCCCACCCAACCACCCCAGGCTGCTGCGCCTCCTGCCCCCACAAGTGACCATGCCATGCAGCCACTCACCCTGGCGCAGCCCCTCTGTGTCCCTCTGCACGCATGTGCGGCTGGTCACCTGGTGGCCTGGGGGCCGTGCTGTCATGTCCTCAGCTGTTCCATAGAGCAGCAGCGTGTAGTAGTGCAGGGTCCCTGGGCAGGGGTCGCGATGTGCAGCGGGGAACAGGCTGTGGGTGGCCTGCTGGGCTCTGCAGCCCCCACCCAGCCTGACAACTGGGTCCAGCTGCAGCAGCAGGACACTCCCCTCTATTAACTCCCCAGGGTAACAGCACCTACCATGCGCCAGAAGCTGGAACTCTTCCCCCTTTAACTCCCTAAGATAATAGTACCTACTGTGTGCCAGTGAGTGGACTCCCCCACTTCCCCAGGGTAACTGTACCTACTGCGTGCCAGTGGCCAGGCACTCCCATTAACTCTCCAGGGTAACTACCTACTGTGTGCTGGGGTTAGAGCCCCCCCCACTTTCTCAGGGTAATTGTGCCTACTCTGTGCCAGTGGCCTGACCTGACCTCCTCACTCCCCAGATAACTACCTTTTATGTGCCAGTGGCCAGACCTTCCCACTTCTCTCAGGTGACTTCACTTACTGGGCACCACTTCTCTCTGGTAACTGCACCTACTATGTTCCAGTGGCTGGATTCTTTACTTCTTCCAGGTTACTGCACCTACTGTGTGCCAGACACCCCTTTTCTCCCCCAGATAACTATACACCTACTGTGCACTAGTGGCCAGACCCCCCCCCCACATCTTCCGGTAACTGCAACCTACTGTGTGCTAGATCTGCCTGTTGAATGATCCTTCCTTGGAGACTCTTGGGGCCCTCTGTGTCTGTGGGGCAACCAGGGCAGGGTCTGTACTACCCCCCTGTCCCCCAGGCCATAAAGCCCTGCAGTCCCCGAGCCTTGCACCCCTCAACCGCATAGCACCCCAGCCCCCCAGCCCACCTTCTCGCAGCCCTGCAGCATCCAGCCCCACAGCCGGAGCCTGGCTCTCACCAGTGTTGAAATAGTAACCCTTATTCTCCAGGTCCAGCATCCACAGACCATGTGGGTCCTCATCCCAGTAGTGAGTGGACATGAAGATCCAGTTGTTGTAGCCCTGACCACTGATGTCCAAGGGTCTAAGGCCCATGGAAGGCATGGGAGAGACGGCACAGTCATCTCATGTGAGTCTCCGCCAGGCAGCACCTGCTCATGGGTCCCTGGGGATAGGAGTCTCCCACCTGATGGCCACTAGAGTGGAGCGTGTGCCCATGGGGCTAGTCAGGGAGATTTCCAGGTCCCCTCGGCGGCTGTAGGACAGCGACAGCTGCACCTGCACATGCTCCAGCGAGCGGATGAGACGGCGCGGGCCTTCAGAGCACGCAGACACGTTTTTGGCCACCAGCATCCGCGGCAGGATGGGGCTGGGTGGGGTGAGGACCTTCCTGTTGGCCTGCTGGCTGGCCGCCAGGAGGAGGGTCTGGGATCCAAGGCCCTCCTTCTTTCACAGATGGGTAAACTGAGATCTTGGGGCACCGGACCTGGCTTGGGCTACGGCGGGGAGAGGTGGCGATTCCAGAAACGTGCGGGCCACAAGCAAGACAGAGCCTGGGGGAAATGGAGCCTGGGCACAGCGCCCCTGGAGAGGAGGCGGGGCCTCCCTCCCGTGCCGGCGAGGTCTTCGAGGAAATTGTGGCTGTGGGTAGGACCTCCCACCTATGGGGGCGGGACCATCTCCCAAGGGGCGAGGTCTCTCCAGCGGGGCGGGGAGTGGGCGGGGTATCCCTCACGTGGGGGTGTGCACCACCCGGATGGTACACTTCCTCTGCGGCTGCGTGGGCACCCACACGCGCGCCAGGTCCACCAGCAGCCCCGCGTCCAGTAGCCCGTAGCCGTAGTGGTGGCTGACTGCGGAGGAGCGGCCGTCACTTCTCTGCGCGCCCGGCACCCCAGTCCCCGGCTGGCCCCGCCGCACCTTGGCGCCCCACGCCGTTGAACTTCCAGTCTTCCGCCTGCAACTGCGCCGGCCGGGACGCGCGGACCACCAAGTGTTGCAGGTCCCTCCAGGTCAGCAGCGGGCTGAGGGGCGAGCGCCGGTGAGCCGGGCGCCGCCCCTGAGGGGGGGCAGGGGCGGGGCAGGGGCGGGGCCCGGGGCACCTACTTGGCTTCCAGAGCCAGGGCAATCATGCCAGCGGCCAGCGGGGCGGAGGCCGAGGTCCCCGTGTGCTTGTCCGTGCACTGGTGGTGCAGGTCGGTAGTGACCTGGGATGGAAGGGACCACAGTGAGCCCAGGACACAGCAGAGAGGGAAGGCTGGCTAGAGGGAGGCAGGGACTGAGCTGAGGCTGAGCCAAGTACCAAGACTGAGCTGGAGAAACGCACCAGGGATTGAACTAAAAAAAGTAATCAGGGGACTGGAGAGATGGCTCAGCAGTTAAGAACACTGGTTGTTTTTGCAGAAGACCCGGGTTCAAATCCCAGCACCCACATGGCAGCTAACAACTGTCCATAACTGCAGTCCCAGGGGATCCGACAGCCTCGTCTGACCTCCGAGGGCATTGCACGACACGGATGCCCTTACCTACATGCTGGCAATACACGCATACACGTAAAAAAAAAAAAAAAAAAAAAGTACTTAGGCTGGGTGTGGTGGTGCACGCCTTTAGTCCTAGCACTTGGGAGGCAAAGGCAAGCGAATTTCTGAGATGGAGGCCAGCTGGGGCTACAGGAAGACTGTCTCAAAAAAGACAAAAAGACAAAAAAAAAAAATCAGGGATGATTGAGTACCTAGAGTAACCGACCAAGCTTCCAAAGTACTGAAGATTATGTTTAACAAGTACTAAATTCTGAAGTCAACAAGTAACAAAAACTGGTTTGTTTGGTTTTGGTTTTTTGAGACAGGGTCTCTCTGCCTGCCTCTTCCTCCCCAGTGCTGGGTTTAAAGGCATGTGCTACCATGCACAGCCAAGGGCTGAGTTTCTTTTTTTCTTTTCTTTGGTTTTTTTGAGACAGGGTCTCCCTGTAGCCCCAGCTGTTCTGGAACTCACTATGTAGACCAGGATGGCCTCGAACTCACAGAGATCCGCCTGTCTCTGCCTCCCGAGTGCTGGGATTAAAGGCGTGTGCTAAAAGATACTGAATTAAAAAGGAACTAAAGACGAAGTTTAACAAGTATTAAGGATTGAGTTCAACAGTTACTAACGGCTGAGCTTTAAAAGTAGTAGACTCAAAACTAGGGACCGAGTTTTAAAAGTGCCAAGGAATTAGCTCCAAAACTACTAAGCACTGAGTTCAAAATTCTGCAAAGCCCGGAATTAAAAAGTACTGAACTTGTGAAACTCTGCGACCTGAACCCCTGGACCCCTGACAGGTGATGTCCCTGGTCAGGCCCCACCTGGGAGACAGCAGGGAAGGGGCAGCGGGAGCATCACTTGAGGAGGCCAAGGCTGCACCCTGGACCCTGGAGAGGTGGGAAGGGTATCAGGTGGGAGGGCTGGAAGCGCTAGGGCGTGGTCTGCATCCGGTTTCTGTAGAGAGGCAGGGCCTGTGGGGCCTGTGGGGGCGTGGTTTGGAGCCTCAGTGGGGGCAGGGCTTGTGGGAGTGGTCTGTGTGAGGGGGTCTGTAGAAGCAGGGCTTGTGAGTGGAGCTTGTGTGGGCCTGGTCTGGATGGGGCCCCTGTGGGGTCAGGGCTTTCGGGCAGTGCCTGTATGGGTGTGGTCAGCATGGAAGCCTCTACAGGCAGGGGCTGTGGGCGGGGCCTAAGGGGGGGGTTCTCTGTAGGGCAGGACCTGGGAACCCTGCTTGTGGATGTGGCCTTCTAGGTGGAGTCTGTACCCTTGGCCCTATGGCACCTGCAGGAGTCTTAAGGGATGGGCAAGCCTTGGGCGGGGCTGTGGTGTGGTTTGGCACCCGTGTGGCTTGGCTGGGTGCCCAGGTCCCGTCTTGAACTCACAATCTGTGGGTCTGTGGCCAAGCCGCTGCTGAAGGTTGTGGTGAAGGTGGAGGCGCAGGCCTCGCTGTACCAGGGCACTCGGCCCTGCCGCGTGGTGCTGCCCACTGACAGCGTGTGGATGCTGTTGGTGTACCCGTCACAGTTGCAGTTATCGTAGTGGAGGCCACCGTTGCCCGAGGCCCAGATGAACAGTGTGCCCAGCCCTTGGCGGCCCTGGGTGGGGAGAAATGAGGGGACCCATCAGCCAGCCCTCCAGGCTCTGGTCTGGTCCCCTCCGCCCTGTGTGGCCCCCTGTGCACCTTGGTCACGCCACGCCTGAAGGCCTCCCGGGTGAGGATGCCAGGGCCATCCACCGTGCGGCCATCATCCTCCGGGCCCCAGCTGGCACTGTAGATGTGGATATGCTGAGGTTGTAGGCTGAGGGACTGAGCCTCCACGATGTCAGTGACGGTACCATCCAACATGCGCACACCTGTGAGAGGCTGGAGACTCGTGCCAGCACCCATGTGACTGGAAGCTCCGTTTGCCCTGCTAGGCCACTTCCCTGTCACTTTTCATCACCCCCCAGCCTAGAGCCTGGTATTGCCCAACCACCAGTGGTGGGCATAGGTGGGAGGGGGCTGTCTGTGGACTGGTCAGCCTTGCCCTGACATCACCCAGCCTCCAACCCCTGGTACCTCCAATCCTGGCATTGAATGCCACGCCAGTGCCACAGAATCCATTGTTAGCAGTAGAGGCCACCTCCCCAGCACAACGTGTCCCATGCCTGGTGCCAAGGGCAAAGAGAGGAGTACCTGTCTGTCACAGCCCAGCTGGCCTCCTGCAGGCCCTGAGGACTACCTCATACCCAGCACTGGCCCTAACTCACCGGTTCTCATCACTGGTCGTGTAGCGGGGCTGTGGGTCAGGGTCATAATCATTAAAGTCATAGCTGGCCAGAGGATCCTGTTGGGACAGGAGGGACAGAAAGATAAAGATGACCTGAGTCTGGCCCAACCTGGGGATCTCGCCTGGTGCCCTTACCACTAGAACCCTCACATAATTAGCCCAGAGGTCTGGGTGGTCTTTTTCAATGCCGTCATCCAAGATGGAGACTACCACACCTCGGCCTGTCAGTCCCTGGTTCCAGACCCTCAAGATGTTGTGGTCTGGTTGTATCTCGTGGTTCTGTGAGAGGCAAGGGGGACACTGAAGTCAGTATAGGGCTCAGGTGAAGCTATCCCTGTCCACCCTGCCTAGGCTGCCTGCTCACCATGTACCATTGCTTAGAAAACCAGGGGTCCGTGGGTGACACCAGGGAGCGCTTCACCCGCCGCCGAAGTGTCTGTTGCTCGAACCACTGCACCTGTTGGGGGACACCAGGCTGGACTGTTCACTGTTTTTTTCCCAACTCACTTCCAGGGGTGTGGGAGTGGATACAGCAGGGCTGCAGGCCTGGGGGTCAGTCTGTGCTATGATAACCCCATGTTGGCTGGTGGCTAGCAGGAGCCTCAGGGTCTGTCCTCAGGGCTGAGGCCCAAAGATCCATGTATGAAGCCATTAACGAATGGGGTATAGGGGACTCTTCCCAATCTTGCTCCTTCCTCCTTCCCTATTCTAGAACCTTCTAAGTCATTCTGGTTCCCTCCTGCAGCATTTCCAAAACCAGCCACTTCTGACTCCCCTTCTTGGTCAGGACACGCCCTGCCCCATACCACCCACCCCTCTACCTCCCCCCTGGTTTTCTCTCTCTCTTTTGGTTTACTTTGTTTGTTTGTTTGTTTTTTGAGACAGCGTCTCCCTGTATCCCCAGCTGTCCTGGAACTCACTGTGTAGACCAGGCTAGCCTTGAACTCACAGAGATCCGCCTGCCTCTGCCTCCCAAGTGCTGGGATTAAAGGCGTGTGCCACCACACCTGGCTTGGTTTACATTTTTATATACTTTCTGTATGTGTGTGCATGTGCCACCACACATGTACAGAGGTCAAAGGATTATTTGCAGGGCTGGATAGATGGCTCCGCAGTTAAGAACACTGGCTGCCCTTGCAGAGGACCTGGGTTCAGTGCCCAGGATCCACATGTCAGCTAACAACCATTGGTAACTCTAGTTCCAAGGAATCCAATGTCACTTCTGGCCTTGGCAGGCATTGTATGCACATAATGCAATACATATGTACAGGCACACACATGTACACATAAATAAAAATAAAAATAAAAATTGGGAGCTGGAGAGATGGCTCAGTGGTTAAGACCACTGGCTGCTCTTGCAGAGGACTTGGGTTCGGTTCCCAACCCACATGGCAGCTAACAATCATTCTTAACTCCAGTTCCAGGGGATCTGACACTCTTGATTGATCCCTGAGGGCATTGCACGACACCGGTGCACTTACATACATGCAGGCATAACACTCATACACATAAAATTAAAAAAAACAGATACAATATTTAATAAATAAAATTAAAATTTTGTTTTTAAGGCTTTCATTTATTTTTTATGTGTAGGAGCGTTTTGCCTGCATGTATGTACATGCACCTGTGTTGTGCAGTGCCTGAACTCCTTGTGTGACTTGGAGTCAGAGTTGGATGCTGACCCTGATCCATCTGTCTATCTAGTAGCTTCTCCTATTCCTCCCGTCCTCCCCCTTTTCTTTCTCCCCCTCCTCCTCCTCCCTGTCCTCTTCCTCCTCTTCCTGCTCTTCCTCCTGCTCCTCCTTTTTCTGTGCAATCCTGATCTCGGTCCTGCAAACCCACAATCCCCACCCTCAGTTCTGTGATGCTTGGAGCCAGGCATCTCTCCAACGTCTGCTGAAACTCTGTGACGTCACCCTCTGTGACTTCCCACCCCAACTCTGTCCTAATTTTCTGACTCCCATATACCTACTTCTCCCAATGGAGGCCTGCCCTGTTCTGGCTCTGACACCTTATTGAGCACCCAGAACCTGGGTTCTAGTCCCAACTTAGTTCCACTTCCATCGAGTGACTACAGGTTTCTGACTGAGCACATGGGTTTCCTGTGTGTAAAATGGGCCAGCTTCAGGGCTAGAGAGCTGACTCAGCAGTTAAGAGCACTGGCTACTTTTGCAGAAGACCCATGCTCAGTTCCCTGCACCCATATTGTGGATAACAACCTCTATAACTCCAGTTCCAGGGACTCTGATGCCCTTTTCTGGCCTCTGTGAGCACTGCACACACATGTGCACTTACATACATGCAGGCAAAACAATCAATACACATAAAATATAGATAAATAGCTGGGCGTGGTGGCACATGCCTTTAATCCCAGCACCTGGGAGGCAGAGGTAGGTGGTTCTCTGTGATTTCAAGGCCAGCCTGGTCTACACAGTGAATTCCAGGACAGCTGGGCCTACAGGGAGACCCTGTCTCAAAAAGACCAAAAAATAAA